TGGTGGACACTAGAGAGAATGCAGCTTTAACACATGAAGCATTGGCTTCACTGTTCAGAGTTGTTGTTCATACAGATTGACTTGTTGCTCCTATTCCCCGTCACTCTGTCCTCTCTCTGTCTCCTCCTCACTGAAGGTTTCTTCAAAGGTACCTCAGAAGCCGTGTTTATTTTCTTCACGTTTTTCTAATTTGCAGTTTGCGTCAGCGGTGTTCTCATCGTGAGCCTGCTTATCTTCACCTCTAGGCTGCAGCCAGGGATCAGTGTTAGTGAGATGTTGATCCTCGAGGCTGGAGGACTTTGATGTGCTACTTCATTCTCCATTCAGGAGCTTGTAAACATCATTTCTTTGATGATTAATATCCAACAAGCCTCAACAATATGAATGTAATTGTGGGATTTACTAGAACAAACTGTCAACATTTACTCTCATATTCTCACTCGTGTTCTTGTTCTGCATATTAGAGCAAAGATGTTTTTTCCATTTGATCCTCTTTCCTGTTCATCACTGAACTTCCTGGAGGTCATTTTATCTTTGAAGCTCGAGGACTCTCGTCCTTCTTCTGGCTTTCGGCCCTCAATTACAAAGTAATTGCTTTTCTCCGACCTCCTCTGGAAGCTTCAAACGAGACGTCAACTGTTTTTTATTTCTCTGAAGTCGTGGGAAGAAGGCCAGAGGCTGCAAGTTATATGGAATCATTATTTCCCAGCGATGTTATTATAAAGATTGGATCCCTGTAGGGACAGTCGGGTCAGAGCGACATGCTGGGAAACATCAGGGCTATTTATCTTTTGTACATTTGTAACAAACCAAATGATGGCTGATGTAGGGCTGCACGTAAGGATTATTATCACTTATTAATTAATCTGGCAACTATTTCCTCTATTAATCAATGAATCAGTAAGAACATAGTGCAACATGTTGACCTTCTTTCATTTCATGACGTTTAATGCTGAACTTTAACCGACAGATTCATCAAATAATGAACCATTAAGTATTATAATGAACTATGTTGTAGAGCTGCAAACATTATACTTCATTAGTAAGTTGATCAAAGGAAAATATATCGGTAACTAATTTGATAATTTGTTATTTTTTTAAAGCAAAACCAGCTTCTCAGATGTCAGGATTTAATACGTCAGTAAACTGATTATATTTGAAGACGTGATTTATAACATTTTCACTATTTTACAGACGAAACGTTAATTGATTGGTGGAGAAAATAATCTGACGTGTAAAGAGCTTTACAGGATGAAACTCTGCAGATCAATAATTTCACAGAAAGATGTTTGAAACATTATTTTGATTTCTAAAATATATCTTCAAAGTAAGTAAAATATATTTATAAAGCGCTTTTCACAGACAGAAGTGACAAAGTGCTAACAGGAGCGGTATTACAGACATAAATAACACAATGTGACCATAGAAGGGCCAACAATTAACATTTAAGAAGGCACAAAAAACAGAAAGTACACAATTAAAACATTTAAAGACCAACAACAAGGAAAACATAAAGTAGAAGATACGAAGAAAAACAGCTGAATCAGTGAAATAAAAGGAATTAAATGTTAGATTGTTGTTAATGTGACCCTGATCTTTTCCAGCTGATATCAACCTGGGTCTGATCCGCTACGTGCTGCAGCAGGACAACGTGCGGGACACCGTGGACAACTTCAAGTTCCTGGTCAAAGACAGCAAACCCAACGTGGTCAGCGACAACGTCTTCCACATCCAGTGGTCTCTCATCAGCTTCGAGCACAAAAGGTCCGAAAAACACAGCATCTTATCGTACTTTTTCTTTAATAATACACACACAAATAAACCCGTCACTTGTTCTCGTGATGCTTCCACAGCTACAACGTGAGCGAGAAGGCCGGCACGGTGGCGGTGACGGTGAAGCGAACGGGTAACCTCAACCAATACGCCATCGTGCTCTGCCGCACCGAGCAGGGCGGCGCCACCTCCACCAGCAGCGTCGGGACCCGACCGGGCCAGCAGGACTACGTGGAGTACGCCGGACAGGTAGCGGACAACGCCGGCATGCTGGCGTTTTTAGTTTTAGGACATTTTAAAATGTCTAAACTTCAGGCTTTGACTTCATGTTTTAAGCTTTTTTATTTGAAATCAATGAGTTTCTGAAGTTAAGTTTTTAAAATTCAATTTAAGACTTTCATGTTGTTCCTTTTGGAATATTTCTTGTCCAATCATTGAAGAAACTTTAAGAATAAAACAGACTGTTTTTAAAGTTTTACGCTCAGTTCTTTGGTCTCTCTGTCTTTCAAATGTTCCTCTCGATTATACAGTTTTCTTATTTGTCCCCTGGTGTTGACATCCAACTTGTGAAGAAGATGTTTCTTATTCTCCGTCCTAATTGGTTTTATACATCAGCCATCAAAATATCATAATCATAAGCAGAAACGCGTATTGAACCGTCGCCCCTGAACGTCCCGGTGATTCACAGGTGCAGTTCGACGAGCGCGAGGACACCAAGGTGTGCACGGTGGTCATCAATGACGACAAGGTGTTCGAGGGGACCGAGAGCTTCCACGTGGAGCTGAGCATGCCGGCGTACGCGCTGCTGGGCGGGAACACGCGCGCCCTCGTCAACATCAACGACACCGAGGACGAGCCGACGCTGCAGTTCGATAAGAAGACGTACCACGTCAACGAGAGCACGGGCTTCATCCACGCGCCCATCGAGAGAAAAGGTTTCTCACGTCCCTGTGTTTCTATTTAAGGACTTCCCCGTTATTCTGTTACCATATATGACATATTTACACATATATTCTGTATCCGCTTGTTGCCAACTGATGCTCACACCGAGGGATTTATCCACACTTGCATTCTTGGTGTCGCATCAATCCAAGCAAATATGTTTATATTTTTGGCACAAAGTTCATCTATAAAAAGCTCCGAATGAAACACAGACAGCGAACTAGTCCGTGCAAGTTGCACATTTTAGAGGAAATATATATGGAAGCCAACACATGACCAACACATGAACCTCTCTCTCTCTCTCTCTCTCTCTCTCTCTCTCTCTCTCCCCCCCCTCCCTCTCTCTCTCCTCCCTCTCCCTCTCTCTCTCTCTCCTCCCTCTCTCCCTCCCTCTCTCTCCCTCCTCGCCTCCCCCTCAGGCGACACCTCCAGCACCGTCTCTGCTCTCTGCTACACCGTGGCCAAGTCGGCTCAGGGCAGCAGCCTCCACGCTCTGGAGTCCGGCTCCGACTACAAGAGCCGCGGGATGTCCGGCGACAACCGCGTGGTCCTCGGCCCCGGCGTCAGCATGACCACCTGCGACGTCAAGCTCATCGACGACAGCGAGTACGAGCTGTCCGAGGAGTTCGAGCTGGTGCTGTCGGACGCCTCGGACAACGCCCGCGTGGGGGACGTGACCTCGGCCAAGGTGGTCATCGACGGGCCCAACGACGCGTCCACCGTCACTCTGGGGAACGCCACCTTCACCTTCAGTGAAGATGCCGGTACGACACGAGAAAGTCTTTGAAGTTACACTTTTTATTTAGATGTCATTGCGTAGCTTTATTTATAAGAAACATGAATATGTAATGATCTCATTCATTCTTATCGTTATTCTCACAACAGGAACAATTGAAATACCGGTGCTGCGTCAGGGCAGTGACCTGTCCTCCGTGACCTCTGTGTGGTGCGCCACCCGGCCCTCGGACCCCCCCTCCGCCAACCCCGGGGTCGACTACATCCCCAGCTCCAAGAAGGTGGAGTTCAAACCTGGAAGAACCGAGGAGGTGAGGACAGAGACGTCTCACTCGCAGGAGGACGTCTAAGAGAGGCTGAATGAAATAAAGAAGCCTCCTCGTTAGTTACAAGATGAATATCTTTACAAAGATAAATGTTTATCATCAGAGGACGTGTGAGAGGCCGACAGGGTGTTCAGCCTAACGACATATCTTATCATATGTACAATGCCGTATTGGGGCCATTCAGGTAAAACAATATAATAATTACGGTGCCTCGCTAACACCTTCTTCTCTACAGACCTGCAGTCTGACCATCATGGACGACGTCCAGAACCCGTCCATCGAAGGATCCGAGTCCTTTGTGGTGTTCCTCAGTTCTCCTCAGGGTGCCGTCCTCCAGGAGCCCTACGAAGCCAACGTGGTCATCACCGACACCTTCCAGGACAGTACGTGGCACACGAGAACATCGCATGTCTCGCTTTTCATTTGAGGCTCCTCACGTACCTCACATCACAGCCATCTTCCCCTCTCTCAGTTCCCAGCATGCAGTTTGAGAAGAGCGCCTACGCTGTGAAGGAGAGAGACGGCGTCCTGCACGTCCCCGTCATCCGGACGGGTGACCTGTCCTTCAAGTCGTCGGCGCGTTGTTTCACTCGCACCATGTCGGCCATGGTGATGGACGACTTCGAGGAGAGGAGGAACGCTGACGAGTCGCGCGTCACTTTCCTCAAAGGAGAGAAGGTAGAATTTAGTCCAACGTGTTCCTCTGAAGTAGATTAAGTCAGTTTATATGTTGGTTTTTTAAAATGTTTGTTTGTGTGTTTGTTTTCCAGGTGAAAAACTGCACCGTTGTCGTCATTGATGACTCTGTTTTTGAGCCCGAAGAGGAGTTCCAGGTGCATCTTGGGACGCCGCTGGGTGACCACTGGAGTGGTGCCATGGTGGGCGCCAGCGACATCGTCACCGTCACCATCACCAACGATGAAGATGGTAAGAAGTCACACACAGCAGATAGTTTACTGGTTTCATCTCACTCACTGCTGAACTACTGCGGCTCCGCGGCTTCATTTTGTCTTCTTGAAAGTTATAAATCATCATCTCAGTCTCTTTCATTAAGAAGTTAGAATATATTGGTTTTTAGTGTTCTGTTTGGATCAATACATCTTTCTGCAAATGTATCAGGCAGATTGTTAAAATACAGACATTAGGTTGTTACTATAAAAGATGAAGGCTCCTCCCAGACCACATTTATTTAAAAACTCTATAAAGTCACCTTTGATATTTTAGTTTGTATTGGAATTTGTCATTACAACAAGATAAAACAAATTCAGTCTAATCCATCAACCTTATTGATATTAACACAAAAACAGGATAAAATACTGAAAACAACTCAGCATTGCACAATACAGTTCAACACCTCTTTAAAACAGTTCAACCTTCATTAAGGAAGGATTTATTACAGATGGGTTCTGCATCAGTTTTATCTAGACGGTACCTAATAAAATGCAACTCTCTGTGCGTTACAATACCCATAATACCATTCAGTATGCTGGATGTCAAATGAAGTATGCCAAGAAATACCAGGATATCCGACTACATCCGGTCGAATTTTGCTGTATGCAAGCCAGCATGCTTCTCTGGCTATTCTGACCCACAATCCTTTGCACAGCGGATATATGAGCAAGAGGGTCAAAGTTCAAGGTGCCACGTTATGAGGAAGTCACAATTGAATGAATGCTGCATGTAACTTTGTAAGAGAACACGTAATAAAAACAAAGAGTAAAAGTATGCAATCTGGAGCGCAGCTTGTCGTCATGTACAGTATGACCACCAGAGGGCAGCACTCTGACCTCCTCCTCCTCTTCCTCTTCCTCTTCCTCTTCCTCCTCCTCCTCCTCTTCCTCCAGCCCCCACCATTGAGTTTGAGCAGGCGTCCTACCAGGTCAGAGAGCCTCCCGGTCCCGACGGCATCGAGGTGCTCAACATCAAGGTGATCCGTGGGGGGGATCTGGACCGGACCTCCAAGATCCGCTGCAGCACCCGCGACGGGTCGGCCCAGTCCGGAATCGACTACAATCCCAAGAGCCGAGTGCTCAAATTCCCCCCAGGTCAGTGCGGAAGGTTTTGCCTTAAAAAGAGATTTTCTTTTGTGAGTGTTTCTGTAAAGCTCAGGTCCAAACTTCTTCTCTGCAGGGATGGACCACATCCTGTTCAAAGTGGAGGTCCTGTCCAATGAGGACAGGGAGTGGCACGAGTCCTTCTCATTGGTCCTCGGCCCCGACGACCCCGTGGAGGCCGTGCTCGGGGAGATCACGACGGCAACGGTGACCATTCTGGACCAGGAGGCTTCGGGCAGCCTCATCCTCCCCGCCACGCCTATTGTGAGCAGATGTTCTGATTTTAATCAGCGGGTTTCAGAAGAGCTTCACTCAGGCGTTCATATATGACACAAACACATAACGTGAAGATGTAGCTCTTTGAAGGACATTAGTGACTTCAGTTTATTTAGCGTTGTACATTTTCATAGAACAAGATCACAAAGTGCTTCATGAGATTGAAAATTATTGAAAATATGACCAACAAGGGACAGCCAGTAAGTCCTGTTTAGAAGACCATCATCCATTTTATTGTTCTGCGACTGAACGTTAGACAGCCAGGAGCATGCTGGGTAGTGGAGTAGCCTCAGGTTCTAGCTGGGTTAGCTTAGCTTCCATCTAGACTCTCCACCCCTCTCCTCTCTGGGGCGGTTTGGTCTGGCCGGTTGGTCGGCTGAGGAGCGGTGATCGTCTCAAAGTCTGCTGCTCTTCATCCACACGCTTCCTTCTCAGATGTTGATGAATGACACATTCAGTAACTCCAAAACAGCAGCAGCAAACCAGAACCACTTACGACGAGTACAGAGGTGTTCACATGACGTATCATGTGGTCGGGATTTTAACCCCAAACGGCTTTTTAGGACCTCAGCGGGGTCCTCCATTTGTCGAGATAAAAAAAGTCAAATTCCAAGAAATAAAAGAGTCCCTCCTTCCTCCTCAGGTGGTCTCCCTCGCCGACTACGACCACGTCCAGGAGGTGACCAAGGAAGGCAGCAAGAAGACGCCGTCGCCAGGTTACCCTCTGGTGTGCGTGACCCCCTGTGACCCCCACTACCCAAAGTACCCCGTGATGAAGGAGCGCTGCGACGAGGCCGGCATCAACCAGACCCAGGTCCACTTCTCCTGGGAGGTGGCGGCACCCACCGACACCAGCGGCGCCCGGTCCCCCTTCGAGACGGTCACCGACACCACCCCGTATACCAGCGTCAACCACATGGTGAGTTGGGAGCTCTCTGGAAAAAAAGGACTAATTGAGCTTCTCTCTCTCTTTCAGTCCCTCATGTCTCCTCCACTCTCTCTCTCTCTCTCTCTCTCTCTCTCTCTCTCTCTCTCTCTCTCAGGTCCTGGACAGCATCTATTTCAGCCGCCGCTTCCACGTCCGCTGTGTCGCTCAGGCCAGAGATAAGTCCGGTCACCTCGGGACGCCGCTGAGGAGCAACATCGCCACCATCGGCACAGAGGGCTCCATCTGCCACACGCCCGTCACCACCGGAACCGCCAGGGGCTTCCAGGCTCAGTCCTTCATCGCCACGCTGAAATACCTGGACGTCAAGCACAAGGAGCACCCCAACCGGTGAGGAGCATTTTACATCGGAGAAAACGTTTCGACCTAAACTTTAGATTGTGTTTGTTAATATCTCTCTGTGTCGGTGTTTAGTATCCACATCTCGGTGCAGATCCCCCATCAGGACGGCATGCTCCCCCTGGTGTCCACCATGCCGCTGCACAACCTGCACTTCCTGCTGTCAGAGTCCATCTACAGGCAGCAGCACGTCTGCTCCAACCTGGTTACCCTCACGGAGCTGCAGGGTCTCTCCGGTCAGTCGCGCAAAAACACACACAGCATCACAAATACCAGGAATCCTAAACATCAAAGATGAAACAGGAGATGAATAGAATCATTTAAAGTTGATACAACAGTGTTAAATGCTGCAATTCCTTTTCCTCCATCTTATCTTTTGTTGAAGCCACAGACAACTTTGATGATAATACATGCAAGGTGTCCAAATATATGAAAATAATGAACAAATCAGATGTAAAGAAAGTGTTATTTTTATATATTGACACCAGGCTGTGTTCCAATGCTAATCCTGTTTCCACTTTCTACTCATGCTCAGCTCTGTTTTATGGGTATTCGACATCGAGCAGATTGTTGCATTATAATAAACCTTGATTCGATGTTTGTTTAAAAGTAAAAAGCTTATTCTCTGTCTCAGCTAATACGAACCTTCTTCCCACAGAGGCGGGTTTCCTGGACGACTTGTCGTACGACAGCATCTCTCTGGGGCCGGGGTACGACCGGCCCTACCAGTTCAACCCCAACGTCCGGGAGGCCAAGAGCATCCAGCTCTACAAGCACCTCAACCTCAAGAGCTGCATCTGGACCTTTGACGCCTACTACGACATGACGGAGCTCATCGACGTCTGCGGTGGCTCCGTCACCGCCGATTTCCAGGTACGGAAGAGCAGTCGGGGGGCCGGTCGCTTTATAGCAGACACCTCGACTGCATTCTCTCTAGTGTCCACCAGGGGGCGACTCCTCTGGTTGTATAGAAGTCTATGAGAAAATGACTCTACTTCTCTCTTGATTTATTACCTCAGTAAACATTGTAAACATGAGTTTATGGTCTCAATCTCTAGTTTCAAGTCTTCTTCAATACAGCATGATGTTCATTTAGTACATTATGGTCCATTTAGAGTCACAGACCATAAAGCAGGGGATGCTTTAGGGCGGGGCTACACGGTGATTGACAGGTCGCTACCACGGCTTCTGTCCGTATTTTCGTCTTACAACCTTAACGTCGCCATCTTTGTTTTGGGCCGTGGCCAGCGTGTTAATTGTAACATTTTGGTTCCCTAAAAATGACTTATTCAGCCTTTGATTGTACTTAGCTCCACCCTGTCATGTCACTTGCAAAAAACAAGATGGCGACGACCATAAACTCAACTCAAGGCCCTCACTTGTTCTGGGGCTTTGGACCATATCCTGTATGAAGTCAGCTATAAAAACATTACATCGTGCTATTGCTCCTCCAGGTCCGGGACTCGGCTCAGTCCTTCCTGACGGTGCAGGTTCCTCTCTACGTGTCCTACATCTACGTGACGGCGCCGCGGGGCTGGGCCTCTCTGGAGCATCACACCGAGATGGAGTTCTCCTTCTTCTACGACACCGTGCTGTGGAGGACGGGTCAGAACCAAACACCGCTTATCTCTTTATGAGCAGATCGTGATGCAAAGTCACTGCAAGTCTCTGTTTGTGCATTTCTTCTGGATCCACGAGCATCTATTTCAGTTTAAACAGATCTGTGTGTGACAGAACTACATCTCTAGAGTCTCAAGCAAGTGATTCTGAGAATATTTAGTGCTTTTAAAACTATTAAAAAACAGCAAATCTTACTTTAATTACAGAGGAAACAACTCTTAAATAAATGTATATTCTAAACATTTATCAAAATATGTATTTGTGTATGTTGTGATTGGGTCCCACGTAGTAATGTGGGACCCTAAGATACAAAAATATACAATTTTATACTTTCATTTGTTATTAAGGGGAGGATCGAGTGAATAGGGTAAAAAAAGTAACTAACAGATATCACCATGAAACTTCCCCAGTTGATTTCTGACATTAAGACAATTGTTTTTTGTGTTACAAGTTTTCTGAAATATTATGTTTAAATATGCAAATGAGGTATTATGTAATGGTAGCTTTTGGTGGATTTAGGATAAATCTACAGACAGAAATACACAAAGTAGTGAAATAAGAACCAGTAATGTAGAGGAGCATTTGGTTTACAAACACCTGACTCGTTATGTGATCTGACCTCTGACCTCTCTGCCTGCAGGTATCCAGACTGACAGCGTCCTCTCAGCCCGACTGCAGATCATCAGGATCTACATCCGAGAAGACGGACGACTGGTGATCGAGTTCAAAACCCACGCCAAGTTCAGAGGTGCGTTCACGACGTCCGCCGACACGTTTCAGACGTTAGAGTCCGAAAAAAAACTTGTTTTGACTAGTAATTAGACAAAAACACTTACGGTAAGATTTAGCGTTCTACTTCAGAACATAAAATGAAACCTCACTTCTCCGTCTAATGTTGTCCTCCAGGTCAGTTTGTCCTTGAACACCACACTCTGCCGGGTCACAAGTCCCTCCTGATGGCTCCGGACCACCTGGGGGGCGTGGAGTTCGACATCCAGCTGCTGTGGAGCGCTCAGACCTTCGACTCCCCGTACCAGCTGTGGAGGGCCACCAGCTCCTACAGCAGGTCGGAGGAAGCTCACATTTTACAGTTCGGCTGCAAAGTAGCTTGAAGATTTTGAAAAATCAGATTGGCACCAACTATAAGCGGTACGTGTTTTAAGTAGTTGAACCTCGTCAAAGTTATAATCCTTTTGTGTTTGCGTCTCGTAACAGGAAGGACTACTCTGGAGAGTACACCGTGTTCTTGGTCCCCTGCACCGTCCAGCCCACTCAGCCCTGGATCGACCCCGGAGACAAACCTCTGTCCTGCACGGCTCACGCTCCAGAGAAGTACGCTCCCTCGCGTATTCAAATAGAGCCTGGTGGTGCATTGTGGGTAAACAGGACAGCTAACGGAACAGCACTTAAAACTCTTTGTTTTGTTGTCCGACAAGGTTTCTGGTGCCGATCGCCTTCCAGCAGACCAACCGGCCCGTCCCCGTGGTTTACTCCCTCAACACGGAGTTCCAGCTGTGCAACAACGAGAAGGTGTTCATGATGGACCCCGCCACCGCCGACGTCGCCATGGCTGAGATGGACTACAAGGGAGCGTTCTCCATGGGTACGTGGAGAGAAACACGAAGAACCTCCTTTACTGAGAATAAGGACATTTTCCTCCTCACAGTTCTCTCACTTATTTTAGTTTTTCACATCTTTCCAATCATACACAGACAAATTATATTCATCGAGTGGCATTTATGTCCTGCTATGAGTTCTTAAGAAGTTCTGCACCAAGATAATGATTTAATTTGATATTTTATGCACATTGTCCACTAATAAATATAAAAACGTGTCCCTCTGCCGCCCCCTGCAGGTCAGACTATGTACGGCAGGGTGCTGTGGAACCCCGATCAGAACCTGAACGCAGCCTACAAGCTGCAGCTGGAGAAGGTGTACCTCTGCACCGGCAGGGACGGACACGTCCCCTTCTTTGACCCCACGGGGACGCTGTACAACGAGGGGCCGCAGTACGGCTGCATCCAGCCCAACAAGCACCTCAAGCACCGCTTCCTGCTGCTGGTACGGACACCAACGCTGACTTTAGTGTGGCGTGTTCAAAGAGCGTTATGTCTGATAGATCATCAGTACCTGTTAATATTATTATAACATATTTATTGTTAGAAACCATTAAATTAATTTACACTTTTTATAAGTCAAAGTAAAAAAAGAACTTTATAGTTTTTCTTTTGATTTCTTTGCTTCAGACGTCCTAAAATATCCTTAATGTTCCTGTAATGGTATATCTGTACACAGCAGGCTGACACACCCCTACACACACACACACACACACGCACACACACTGGACCTCTTTTGTTTGTATTTCCTGCCTCACCAGTCTGACCACTCCCACTTCTCACTGGGATGGCCCCACATGCTACTGAACGTATTCACAGCCTGCGTGTTATGTAAACTACTGACTCTCTTCACCATGTAAATGATCTCTCTGGTGTCTTTTTATTGTTCACAAACCGTCATCATGTGAAGCAGAAATACGGCTTTAATGCATACACTTCTTTCTTGAATGCCTCATGAGTTACTGGTTGAATCTATTTGTAGTATTTGTAACTTCCATCAGATGGGAATCTGATTTTTATAAAGAAAACCATGAAAACACAAGTTTATTTTTGATCATCTTCTCTCTGCAGGATCGTAAACAGCCGGACGTTTGTGACAACTTTTTCCACGATGTTCCCTTCGAGGCTCACTTCGCCTCGGACGTCCCAGAGCTGCAGACCATGGCAGCCATGCCGGGCGTCGACGGCTTCACCATGAAAGTCGACGCCCTCTACAAGGTGAGAGTGTGTGTGTGTGTGTGTGTGTGTGTGTGTGTGTGTGTTTGGAGCCTCCTGCGCTACAGCTGCGTCCCGCGTTACTGTGTTGAAGTCGAGATATTCGGTATCTGTGATTTAATGGACGTAGATTTAAACCAGGCGGCAACTTCCTGCTCTGAAAAATAAAGACGATGCTTCATGTGTTAAAGCTGCATTCTCTCTAGTGTCCACCAGGGGGCGACTCCTCTGGTTGTACAGACGTCTATGAGAAAATGACTCTACTTCTCTCTTGATTTATTACCTCAGTAAACATTGTAAACATGAGTTTATGGTCTCAATCTCTAGTTTCAAGTCTTCTTCAATACAGCATGATGTTCATTTAGTACATTATGGTCCATTTAGAGTCACACAGACCATAAAGCAGGGGATGCTTTAGGGGCGGGGCTACACGGTGATTGACAGGTCTCTACCAGAGACGTATACGGCGTCTCTACGTCACTCCTCCTCAGTCCAGATATGGTCACTTCTGTTCATCGGTTGCAAAAAAGCCGAGATGGCGACTGTCAAATCGCCAAAAATGTATTTATTTTCATCACAAGCTGAGGTGAATTTCCACCAATCACAGACATCGCTGTTGCCGTTGAAATGTTACTTTTTCTAAAGTGGAAGTCAGACCAGAGGAAAATAAATGTAATTGAAAAAGTTTAAAGTATCTATAAACTAGTTTCGGCCAGATTACGTCAGTCTATCTATACAGGACATGATTATCTCTTTGGAGAAGCTAACGGACGCTAACAATGAAGCTCCTTCACCTGCTAACGCCGTCCTTCCTTCCTTCTCCCTCTCTGTTGATTGACAGGTGGAGGCGGGGCACCAGTGGTACCTGCAGGTGATTTACGTCATCAGTCCGGAGTCTCGCTCCAGCCCCAGGATCCAGCGCTCGGTGACCCACCGGCTGAGCCGCCCGCGACGCGACCTGGTGGATCGCAGCGGGCGCCTGACGCTGGACGAGTCTCTGATCTACGACAACGAGGGCGACCAGGTGAAGAACGGCACCAACATGAAGTCGCTGCGCCTGGAGGCCGGGCCCTCCGCCTCCTTCAACGCCCACGTGGGCGGCTCGGTGGGCGGGGGCGTGGCCGCCGTCACCCTGCTGGTGCTGGTGCTGCTGGCCGCCTGCCTGCTGCTCCGCCGCTGCCGCCGGGCAGCCAAGAAGAAGAAGAGCAAGAAGGCGGAGAAGGTGTACGAGGAGTACCCGCTCAACACCAAGGTGGAGGTGTGCCTGGACAAGTGCGTGGAGAAGAACTTCAGCACCAAACACTGCACCGTGAGGAACGTCAACGTGCTGAACCGCAACCAAGACGCCAACGGCAAGGCCAAGATCAAACAGGTCAACCTGGAGGTGAAACTCCACAACAACCTCAGCGACGGCACCGAGGTCTGAGACACTGACGAGGAAGTGAAAGAGGAAAAGGTATTTTCTAAAAGAAAGTTTGTACTTAAGGAACGAGATGTTTTGTTCATGTATTTTTATACCACTTTGAAAAAGGGAAGAGCGTGACGGCTGCGCGGCGTTTTGGGCTACCTCAGGAATCAACAAACCACTCAGCTCCATCGTGTATCTCACCGTTCTACTTGACATGTACATCCTTTTATTGCTTTCTGTTGGCACCGTGACGGGGACTGGTAGCTCAGACACTGGTGATTGTTTGTTGGACAAAAAGAAAAACACTTCTCTGCTGTACGGAGTCGTTTCACTGCTACTTAATGTCACTGCTGTGGAGTTGTAGCCAGTTTAGAAGTCACTCATCGTGCTTCTAGCTCGGCTGCTTCTGACCGCGTGAGAGAGTTGAGCACAGACGGTGTGCTGCTGGCTGCTGAGTGCGTGAACAACAACACAAATGAATGATACCTATACAAGTGCAATTATGCCATAACTTGTGTTAAATCCTTCCCCTCATGAGCAGGAAGCATTAAAAAAACTATTTCAAGCCTTACTTAGAGACATCTGTACTGTCACGTTGAACCAACAGATTCTTGTTTCAACACTAATTACTTTATTTTTTATTTTGTCCGTACTGTTCTCTGATAGCTGCCAATATTAAGTGCCATGCAGTATTTATCCTCACAAACGAATCATCCAAAGTGTTTTAATTTCTTCTCCAAGAGCGATGAAAGAAAGTGGACATGTTCCATGTGATTGTAATGAACCAGACGCCGGATAACAACCCCCCCGTCCACATGACTGAATGCTTTAGCCTTACTGCTGTTCTAATGAGAATATTCACTTTTTAAAATGATGTATTTTATAATAATAATGTGTGTCTACCTGCCTTCGTTCCGCCCAAAGACACAAAACCCCGCCCCTTTATTTTCCTCTCATTTTTGTATTGTGACATCACCCTCTTATGTACTACGTTACGCTCAGCTACTGATGTTAAGAGTTACATTCATGCTTTGAAGTGTGCGACACAGAGAGGCGTCGACTCGTCTTTCTCTTCGTTCGTCTCTCTGATCCTCTCGTCTTCTTTCTACTGTGTGCCTATCAAAACAACACGGGGACAGGAGACGTTATGGGGAATAACCATATATTCTTTTGGTGCTATCATTGTGTGGAAAATAACTACGATGCTATCAAACATGATGCCTGTATTTGGTGCCTTTTTTTAGTAATAAAAAAATAAATTGAAAACCCCACGATTGTTTGTATTTAATGTTTATTTGTGATTTTTGATTCTTTTCACTTAATTTTGGGAGAAAAGAACAAATAAAAACTGAAGATGAAAATAGACAAATTAGTTGTTTTAATTGTTTTTTTACTGCAGGATTTGGTACAAATATTTGAACATTTTGTGTCATTTCATGTTCTGTAAATCTCAAACGCGAGTATTTTAGGCATTTGCTGCTACTCGTAAAAAATGTAATCATGAAGTTTAAGGACAGATAAATCTTTATAGTTTTTACTAAAACTGACAAAATTTGCACTAGATTTTGGACTAGAAAGGCCAATAAGTATTATAAACTTTACAAACACTGGAACAGTTGAATAGTAGTAAACGCTAAATTCATAAACAAGTGAAAAGTAAAATATGAAAAAAATGAACCATACCTTTAAAACCAATGATTTAAAACTGACGGTTGATTTAAACATCCATATCATATTTCATATAAAGACTAATGTGTAATATCATTATTAAACTGACATTTTAAATGTAGACATCTAAAATGTCCGAGCGGTCCCTGAAGGCGACGCGTGCGTGTTTGCTGTGGGCGTGGCCAGGTGACTCCTCGGGTATATATCCGGCTTCTACAGGTGTGGCGGAACACTTTTCCGGTTCAAGCTGATATCCAGGTGAGGTTTTCTTTCATTCCTCTGAGTTTATGTTGTTTCGTATTGTTGGTTTAAAAACAGGTAGTTGAAGGTTTAGACGCACGTCATTACTTTGCTCATTAACTCATTATTACCTGAGCAAAAACTGGTTTTGACTGAGGCTAAAACTTTAAATATAAAAACTTTTAAATATAATCCAGTTACAGGCAGACAAAATGGGGCTATAAAGTCACAATTAATGTGACTTACTACACGACAGAGGAAGATTAGAGCCTTTTGTTAGAGGTAACTGAGCTCTGACACTTATTTCAATGAGTCATATAAATAAACATTTATTTCCTGCTTTAGTATTTTTATTGTTTTAAAGATTTCAGTTGTGATATGGCTGCCTCAATATCTAAAAATAAAAAGCCCAAAGTTATGGTACGTAATTGCTGTGAACTGGGAAAACTTTGGGGCAATTAAACATCAAACATTTCAGCTTCATTCTCAAGGTTTAAAGTTTTTCTCTAAAGATGAATTAAATAATAATAAATAGTCATGTTAACAGAAGTCAAATCATCATTTTATCCTTTACACTTGTTGCTATTCACTGGAACACAAAAAACAAGACGACTGTAAACTCACTGACTCAACTAAACATTCTCTAACTCATTAAATCAGAATAAAAGGAATTTAACTCGTGTACTGAAATAGACATAACGGCTGGAGACATAAAGGTAAATAATAGATGAATACGATGTATATAATATGAGTATTATGTGAAAGGAATGGGTGTATTTACAGGCTAAACTTTATAGAAATTAAAAAGCACCAATGGCCAACAATGAAATAAAAAGTTTTAAACTATACAAATAGTGGAAGAAAATAAATAAATGGATGAACATGGACTAAATGATTATGTATAGATGTTTATATATCCTACTTTATATGCAGAATGTATTATTATTACAGGGAAAACGCATAGTAGACACAATGTGACATAAATAAAGCAGACTGTTCTATAAACGGCTCTCGTAAACTCTGTTTTATCATCATTTTATGAACACTTGCATTTGTGCTAGTTATTAATTAAATGGCGTTTGGTGAGAAAGAAACAAGCTTTCCTTCATAAATAACAATGAATGTGTTTTCCTCCAGAAGAACTTCCTGTTGTGATCATGGCGTCTTTGTGGGTAAGCAGAGTTCAGTCTTTTTGTTTAATTTATTTTACGATGAGGTTTTTGACTGATCGTACGTTTTCAACTGTTCTGCAGGATGACTTGGACAGTCTTGTGAATTCCCCGTCCTCGTTCACAGCACCGGTAGGTCCAGCTAAAACTTTACATTTCAGGTTTTTCATTTATTACACAAATTACAAAAGAGATGAACGCATAAACTGTCTCTTCTTCAGACTGGGGACAGAGGAACCATCAAGCCCAAAGCTAACTTTGATGCAGGAGAAGATGCTGCGGCTCTGGAGGAGGCCATCGAAGGACTCGGTACCAAAAACACAACATATTATACTGTTAAATATATAATCTGTGGATACACAATTAACATAACTCAGTTTCATGACAGAATATATTTTAGTTATTCACAAATATACAGTCATCCACTGTTGTATTTTGAGATTAGCATAGTATGCTAAAGTTGGGACTACTTGTACAATGGACACTTGGATAAGTTTCACATAACAAGCTAACTAGTGTTAAAAACATAAATACAGCACAGAATCATGTGCTATATTTTGTGCTGATGCTAATTTAGCATTGTTAGCAACATGCCGTGAACATATTAAAATGCTAATATTAGGATGCTAAATGTTGCATGTTCAGGATGTTGCTAAAAATCAAATAGCTGTTGGCTACCTGATGGCATGTGTTGGAATGCTAACACATTAGCTCATTGTCTTGCTACACTTCCTTACAAAGCCAGAACTGCTTTTTTTTTTTATTTTTTATTTTTTTTTTTTTATTTATTTATTTATTTTTTTTCCCCCTTCTCTTTTGTCTGTTAAGCAGACATTTGTCTGAAAATGGCTTTAAACTTGTATACTGTTTTCAATCTTTTTTCAGGCACCAAAGAGAAGACTCTGATTGACATTTTGACCCATCGGAGCAGCGCTCAGAAGCAGCTCATCTGTGAAGCTTATCAGGAAGCCACTAGCAGAGTAAGAACGCCCGCTCCTGTTGTCCTGCAGCCGATGCTGTTATCCAGAGGGAATTGAGTTTTTCAAAGCAGCTCAGAAAAAAGAGCTTCATGAGCAACAGGTTTTTGTTTTTGTTTTGTTTTGTCTAAAAATCCGAACAAAACTTCAACCAACCTATGAACTAGTTCTTCCTCTGATTTTGCAGCAGGTGTTGCAGATTGTTTCCATGAGCTCTTAGCGAGAAACTGTAGTCAATGTTAAATTTAAGAAAAATTAGTTAGTTTCTGTTTCTTTACTTTCATTTAAACTAGTCTAAAAGGTAAAAATAAGGCGGACTTTATCCTCAACAGAACAGTTGTATTATAATAATCTGAGTACCTGTCACCTGAGATTATTTATTTTTATCAGTTGCTTCACATTCTTTGCTTGAACACTTTATTAGATATCGTCTCGTGCAGCTTCAACATGACGAACCGTTCTCATACTGTCGGTGCTGTGCGGCTCAGTCGGTGTTGGCTGTATTTGCATGGGTGTGTTTGAAAAATGACGGGTTGTGTTTTCCGTGTCAGACGTTGGTGGAGGACCTGAAAGGAGACACCACCGGGGACTTTGAGGAGCTGCTGGTGGCGCTCGCCACCCCTCCTGCAGCGTACGACTGCCATGAAGTGATGCGGGCCATGAGGGTCAGTTTTACACACTTATTCGATTTTATAAGATTAGATCAAAAGATTACAACAGAAACAAATATGAAGTAAAAGGGTGAAACTATAAACAATAGTGATAAATATTAAGCACAAACTCTGTGCGCCTGGGATTAGTTTTTGGCTAAAGTGAAATGTGTCTTTTGCTCTTCAATGTGTTCTTGTATTTATGGTTCCACCAGTTATTTTAACTTATTTTTAAGCAACTGAGCCATGAAATGTACGGTGACGCTGCAACGATCAAGTGATAACGTTATTTTTATCGTTTGAGGGACAGTAGCTCCCTGGTGAAAGTTGGACAGGACATCATTATCATGCGTTAAGTTGTGGTTCATTAAATCTCCTTGATGTAATAAAGGTGGTAAAGTAACTGACGTTTCAGGGAGCTGGGACAAGCGACAGCGTCTTGATTGAAATCTTTGCCTCCAGATCCAACCAACAAATCAAAGCTCTCACTGACGTCTATCTGGAAGGTAAATGAAGCAAACGGCACGACGGTGAATGTTTCTGGAAAGTCAGAATTTCTTGTTTTTGCGACGGTTTAGTTTTCAAACATCAGAATCACGAGTTTGTCTTTTGATGTTTTTCTCTCACAGAAACGGAGAAGAAGTTGACCCTCGACCTGAAGACGGAAGTTTCCGGAGACTTTTCCACAGCGCTGCTGCTCCTGGCCGAGGTTTGTCATCGCAAAGTAAAAGCTGTGAAGAGTCGGTCAGATATACAATTCTATCTTATTTAACTTGCATCAGACCAGAGTCTGTGATGAGAGACGGACGCAGTCGATGGATCATAAAGTAAAACCTCAGTCTGGATGGAATGAACAAGTTGTGGCGACACTTTCTATGATGCCCATGTCTATAAAGCATTCTAAATAAATGATGTGTTATAACCTGCTTATAGCACTGTAGTTATAACCAATCGTAAATATTCATAATTATTTATAGCAATATCTGTAACGCATTACAAAGTATTTTATAATGAATTAGAACCTCATAACTGTTGATGTTCTGTTTCAGTTGAAATGTATTATAATATTTTATGATTATACGTTACTATAAGCGGCCATTGTTGGCTTTAAGTAAAGTAAAAACAATTGTATATCTTCAAGAGAACACTAAACTTTACTTTTGTAACTATAATTGCCGTTAAGCACTCATAACTATTCATAATGCTTTATAACATTAATATATGTTAATGTTATAAAGCTTTATAATAACTTATAGGGTCAAGTGTCATATTGGTTAATATTATTTGCTGGTCACTGACATTTTTTTAAAAGCTGTAATACATTATGATCTCTTTTATAATGTGACTATAAATGAATGTTCATTGTTTGCTTTAAGTAAATTGATAAAAATATCTACATCTCCAAGAACACAAAATGCTGAATTAATTTGAATGTCTTCCCTGAGATAATTTAAAAAAGATAAATACATAGATGTATATTTAAAAAAAAAAAGATATAATAATGGTTAGACATAAAACAAAGAGGAAAAAGGGAAACGTGACATATCTTTAATTGGGAGGGTGAATACACTCCCTTAGTCACATTCGTCATAATTACTCAACATAAAGGAATAAACAAGTTCTGTTGGTTTGAACAAGGCTTGTCTGCACAGCAGCAGTTTGTAGATGTTGAGTCAACGGAGTTCTTAGTTTATACTTGAAGTGTTTAAAGAGGGAAGAGAACAGAGTGGCTGGTTATTAAATAATTAAAGTTGTTTTGTTTTCAGGGCGAGAGGGACGAGAACACCACAGTAGATGCGGGGAAAGCAAAAGAAGACGCTGAGGTGCAGTTTGATGTGTGACCTTGACTCATAGTGAAAGTGTTTTTAGTGTGTGTGTGTGTGTGTGTATATATATGTGTGTGTATATATGTCTAGAGATGGATGGATGGAGGTCTGTCGATATGGTGAGTGTTTTTGTTTCGTTCTACAGACCCTCTACGATGCCGGGGAGAAGAAGTGGGGCACGGATGAATCTAAATTTGTTGACATCCTCTGCCAGAGAAGTATTCCTCAACTGAGACGAAGTACGTCACAACTTATATCGTGTTTAATCTAAACTACACTCGAGTTCTTACAAACAGAATGTGAAAGTGAGACTGTTTCTCTCGTGCAGCTCTTGTTGAATACAAGAACATCAGTGGAAAGACTCTGCAGCAAAGCATTGAAGGAGAGATGACGGGGGACCTGGAGGAGCTGCTGGTGGCAATCGGTTTGTGCTCGAACTTTATATTCTAACATGTTATTATCGACTTTAATGCCAGAAGTTTGTGGACTAAATCAGCAGCAGATCAATGACTGTTTTTGGATTACATGTTCAACAGTCACACATGGGAATGTTCACATACTTTTGGTCTTTGGTGCAGATCCCCAAGAGTGAATTTACTGCGTTAGACAATAGACTTTATATGGCCGACGCCATCTTTGTTTTTACCCGTTACCAGCGTTGTTTTTGGCAGTCGCCATCTTGATGTTTTTGTCGCCATTTTGTTTTTGCAACCAAACCAGACAACTGAACACTAAGACATTTTTAGGAGACCAATATGTTACAATTAACCTTCATGAACTGAAAACGCACTGTGAAAGGGTTAAAGTTGTAAGACGAAAACACAGACAACTCCCAGACAATGTCATGTCAATCACCGTGTAGCCCCGCCCTAAAGCGTCTCCTGCTTTATGGTCTGACTCTAAATGGACCATAATGTACTAAATGAACATCATGCTGTATTGAAGAAGACTTGAAACTAGAGATTGAGACCATAAACTCATGTTTACAATGTTTACTGAGGTAATAAATCAAGAGAGAAGTAGAGTCATTTTCTCATAGACTTCTACACAACCAGAGGAGTCGCCCCCTGGTGGACACTAGAGAGAATGCAGCTTTAACACATGGAGCTTTGGCTTTGCTCTTCAGACCTGAAGGTTGTCGCCAGAGTTTATTATGGCGTTTTTAAATCAAATAAATATTTGGCAACAAAACTGCACCTTTTCTTTTGTAGAAAAATATCAGCCTTTTATCTCTTGTATAAATGCTGTTTCTCACCACATTGTTGTGTTCAACTTTTGTTTCTCCTCCAGTGAAATGTGTGAAGAGCGTGCCGGCCTACTTTGCAGAACGCCTGTATGAGAGCATGAAGGTGAATATACTGTTTTTGCACACGTCTTAGTCGTGGATCATTGGACAAACAAGATCCACGTCAACGGCAACATGGTGACGTTTACTGGAGAAGGTACAGCCCATAATAAGAAGCTGTTCAGCAGAGAGGATTGTAAGAGGAAATGTCTTTCTTTAGTGGTTGAGCAGTATTAAAGATGAGCTCCGGTTTACTGCACGGTGCTGAATTATTTCTATTGAGTGTCTGAAGAAGAGACTATAGTGCCACTTTAGTTTTGTTCTGTAGAGAGGTCAGCAGTACTAATGTAGGATGAGTGCAGGATAAATACTGTGCATGAATGAAGTTTTACAGAAAGTGTTGAAACATTGTGTGTTGTCAGGGTGGTGGAACAGACGAGTCCACTCTGAACCGGATCATGGTGAGCCGGTCTGAGATCGACCTGCTGGACATCAGAGCAGAGTTCAAGAAGCTCTACGAATACTCTCTGCACTCTGCCATCAAGGTGAGGAACTATGAATGTGTGTTAAACGTATAGATTATGTAATGACCAGTTGTTCCAGCTTAATGGGATCCTTGCATAGATTTTGTGTCCGCACAGTTTGCAGTAACATAAATTCAGACGGAGCCTGACTGGTTCTGGTCTCGGTGGATTTACTGTCTGAGGTTTCATGAGTCATCAGATTTTAAAGAGTGATTATATTTGGCAAGCCACTCTGATATCCGTGAAGCCAAATATATATTTAAATATGAATAACGCAGAAGACAAGACTGTTCGGAGACAAAATGACTAATCGGCGGAATAACTGAAATGGAACGGGGCCCTGAACACATCGTCTGTTTACTCAAAACTAATCTCTTACTAACATTAAAGGCGGGTTGGTGATCTTCAGAAAGTTGTAGGAGTACGCTAGATTTTAAAAACTGTCCAAGCCCAGTGTTGCCAACTCTTCTCCAATGAAAGCACCAGCAGCTCTGCAGGCTGAGGTCCATCAGGACCAAGACCTCACGCTGCAATACCATTCATTCCCATCTGCAGTTGGGCTCGTCAATAAAACCCCAGACCTCCTCTGACTCGCACACTTGCATCCACAGGACAATTTGTTAGTTACACACCCTTTGCACAAGTCTTCTCTATTATTATACACTTTGACCTTAATAGATACTTGTTTTAACATACTTCCTTTTGTTTGTTTACCATATTTTATTGTAAATTTTCATATTTTTTAAATTACATCTTATACTATTCATTGCGTTTACTGTTGTGCACAAAGCCAGATTCCTTGTACCTGTAACGTACTTGGCAATAAAACCGTTTACGGTTACAAAAGTCACTAAATCTGGCAAAAGTCAGCAACACTGATTTCTCTTCAGGCCTCCCTGCAAAGCCACGCCCCCAAAATGATCATTATGAACGTAAACAACAAACGTTGATACCGTTGGTACTGTTGGTACTGGTAGACAGACAGACAGACAGGTAGCCGTCCAGTGACCGCTACAGACTTGATTATTTTTTTCTTTTTCTAGATGTAATGAGACTTTAACCTAAAAGATCACCAGCCCTGCCTTTTTAAAATAAGTTAATGGGACTTTCCTAACTCTTTAGAATAAAAACAGTTGATGGGACTTTCCTAACTCTTTAGAATAAAAACAGTTGATGGGACTTTCCTAACTCTTTAGAATGAAAACAAAGTATTTATTGACGAGCGATACGCCTTCGTGATTGGCTGTCGGTGTGTTTTCTATCCGCTCTTATTTTGCTGCTTGTGGATCTGGTCTCCAGTCCTGAGATTTAAAACCACACACAATCTGATTTAATCTATAATAACACTTCGTGCTTTATTGGCAGATTTTCATATTGTATTATCTGAAAAGTAACGAAGGCTGTCTGATAAAGTATTTCCCTCTTTGATGTAGTACAGAAGAAGTACTATGTAGCATCAAATGGAAATACTTGAGTATAAGTACCTCCAGACCTTTACTTGGAGTAAAGGTAGCGTCCCACCGCTGCTGGTGTTTGGTGTGAAGACACTTTCTCCTGGCTTGTGTTGTTGTGTCCTCCAGTCGGATGTGTCGGGCGACCTGGGGGACTGTGTGGAGGCCATCTGTGGAGGAGACGACGATTAGATAACACCCGAGTCCACCTGAAGAAGAAACCTGCACCCTCTGTAACTGCGCTATACTTTTACTTTTCATCTTCAAACTACTAACCGATAATGACGACGGTGCATATCATTAAAGACCTCAACATCAAACTGGAGGTTTAATGTAAAGTTCTGCTTTTGTTTCAGTCTGATTCCCGAGGGGACTATGAAAAGACTCTGAAGAAACTATGTGGAGGAAAAGATGAGTAATGTCGACATGTTGCCTTTATTAGGAAACGACTTCCTGAACTTGCACGTGGACTTTATTTATTTGGGGAGGAACCAAAAAAATATATATATATTAAGAAAAAAAGCAATGTTCCGTATACCTTTATTACATTCATGCTTTATTTGTTACTTTTCTTCTGCCTGATAACTCTCCAAATATAGAAGGTGATAAACATGGGCGGGACAGTAGCAGAAAGTGACTATGTGATAGAAATAACAAGTTTCTCTATAATATAAGATAAACATCAAATCTGCATGTTTGTTCACTGTGTGAGAAGGCATCATTTAAACATAATGAAATAAAACATAATTGATGGAAAATTTGATGATGGGTTTGAGTTTTTTGCTAACTTTGTGTGATGGATTCATCATTTATTAACTGAACATGTAACATCGATAAACGTCTCATTAAATGAGTTTATTAGGTAGATTCTGATTCAGTCCTTGAACAAATATTTATCAAATAATTTCCAAAGTTGTTCGCATTAAACTATAAACTTTAGTAGTTTTGAGTCCTTTTTTATTTTTTAAATAATTTGCTCCAATATCCTCTGAAGTTTCTACATTTTCATTTGAATTATATAATTCCTATAATCTATAAATTATCTCTTGTACGCTTTCTTTCTTATTGCCGTCAACCTGCCAGATGAAAATCAGCCGTACGGACACATTCACACGATGGACTCAAGTGCTCATGTTGGTTGATGTGCATCGACTCTTCTTAAATATAATAAACATTAAAGACACAAACATTACAAGTGAATCGGCTAAACTCTCACAAACTGACGGTGACGCCATTAAATGAATAATTTAGATTTAGGAAGTTTAAATTATTTCTTAACCTGTAATTGGAGCTAAAATCTATATTAAAAGGAAACTTCCTGGGAAATTATAGAAACATATTTGTCAATTTCTGCTGCATAACACAGAGCTTCACCACCACAATAGAGTAATTAAAACTGATTACTTTAAGTCTGTTACAATAAGTGTGGAGGAGACATTGCTGCAGTGAGTGTTGTATTTATAAATGGAGAAAATAACTTGTCGGATGAAATACTATATTTCAGCTCTTTACTCTTCTGGCTCCCTCTTGTGTCTTTGTAACAGAAATACTAATTAAAAATAACTCATGAAATGTTTTTCAGTATAGTCTTCACACGACCTGTTAACAGTCTTGTAGTCCATCGTAGTCACCAGCAGGGGGCTCCACTGACTCAGCAGCAGGTTGTAAAGGGCTCCAGGGGCCATTTATGTGTAGATGAATGGAAGTGTTTCACTCGATCATTCAAGGAGATGCACAGAAATGTTTCATTTTATGTGACCGTGATGGGCTTCTTATGGAGAACTCCTGATTCGGACTTTGCTTTTTATTTAGTCATTCAGATGTTTTGTTTATTGTCCAAAGTATCTTGAATGTTAAATTGAATCTTGAGGTATTAGCTGCAAAGATTAAAACACATCTGCTCTAAAAAATAGAAAGTGAAACAATATCTGTTTAATTTTACACAAAAGCAAATAACTTGATTATTGTTTAGTTAAATAACCACAATATTGATAATCATAGTATACTATAATCATAATATTGACAATAACAGGTATTTATAGAGGACTTTTCACGGTACTGAAAGACGCTCTAGTAAAAAATAAATGATGCAACACACTAATACATTAAAGTTCTGATTTGGTGTTTAATGTGATCAGAAATGAAGTGCTCAAATGTACGCAAAACATGCAGCAACAAAAACAAGTACTTTGAAAAGTGGACGTCTTTCTTGTCTTCATATATATGTACAGTTAAATAATATAACAGTTATTTGTTTTCATGTCTCGCATATCTGATGGTATGTTGGAGACCGATTCTCCGAGTACTAAATCATAAATACGTTGAATACAAGTCTGATGTACTCTGGTGATTGAAACCAAAACAAACATGGGTTTTGCATGTAATGTCTCCCCTTAGGAATATTACGATGAAAGTACTTTTGTACTTATACTTCAACAAAATGTTGAAAAGCAGGATTTTCACATGTAACAGAGTATTTCTGGTATTGCCAAAAGATCCGAGCAATTCTCTAACCTCTGCAAAACACCGACGTCAGAGCTGCACGGAGTGACGAGAGAAAAGGTCAAATCGCACCACAACTCTGTCCTCTGCATCTCCCCGAGTCAGCAGTTCTGCTGTCGGTGTCAACGAAACTAGAGAGAGCAAGGCTGCTGGATCACCAAAACAATTCAAGATGCTTCACATTATGCTTTAAGGTCTTTTCTCCTCTTCATGCCTCTGTTCTTTCATTTCCTTCCTTTTTTTATTGTACGTAAGCATGTTCTTTCTTTTTTTATCCTTTATAGTAATCTGGAAATGAAAGCATGGATTGGTTTCTCTATGGCCTCGACATAAAATCCTCAGATGGAATAAACTGTTTCATAAATTCCTGTATATTTTATTAATGCTGTAAAACACGTGTGCTGCAGCCTTGTGGCCCCCTCCAAATGAAAGCCATTCATCGTCTCTCTGCCAGTCTTTTCAGTCCTGCAGGGAGCCGACCGTTAAACTCGGGGGGGCCAGACTATTGAGGTGGACGAGAGCCCCGAAGGCAAAGACGTTTTCCTCATTAAAGCCGAAGTAATCACCCAGACTCCTTCACTCTGCCCCCCCCCACTCCACCCTGTCACAACCCCCGCCCTTCCCTCTGTATCTGAGCTGAAGGAAAACAGGAAGAGGCCTACATTCACACATCTTCATATTCTGACAGCTTCACAACCCCCGTGTGTGTCTGTGTTCATCCAGTATGACGCTCAAACAGGAGGTTATCAGCACAAAAGATATTTAAAAACACTCGTATCACGAGCCATGTTGTGTGACCTATTTAAAGGCAGACTGTTAAACGTAACCCCAGAGTTTTTGCTGAAGTGCCTCTACCCTGAAAATTAAAAAACACAAATATTGACAATTTGTATAGTTTATTATTATTTATTTTATTTTATTTGTTGTGGCTCAAGGTGGGGCGGCGCCCTAGCGTCCTCTATTGACCAGCCGCCACTGATAGATAGCATGTTGTTAGCGTTTTAGTCCTTGGTTGCACTGATTGTTTTCTTGTTTGGTGGGTGCGGTTTACACATTATGAAGCGTTGCGCTCTGTCGCTATAGAATAAAGAGTAAGGCGTAGATATGAATAAGGTTTAGGCTAACTCTGTAAGTTACGCTAAAGCATTTAGCTAACTACAGTAGCTGGCTAACACATAGCTAAAATGTGCCGAACAGCTTGCAAACTTGTCAGATCATCCTTTTAATTATCATCTGCAGCAATCTAACGTTTTTAAATAGCTTCATGAATTTTGTATGCATTACAGGCCTTGGTTGCATATTTCGGCGCCAATTGTTTCCCCTCCGGTGGGCGTGGTTTACACAGTATGAAGTGTTGCGCTCTTTTGCTATCGAATAAAACATAAGGGGCAGATATATGCTCTAGGCTATATTTCTGTAAGTTAAGTTAAAGCATTTTGACAGTATGCAACTTTTGTTAGTAATGTGGATAAATCAGAAGGCTATGCAGTATAATGTTTGCAAGTGCCTTAGCTAACTACAGAAGCGTGCTAATATTAGCTTGCTAACAGCTTTCTAACTTGTCCAATCATCATTTGTATTATTAACTGCACCTGGTAGACATAAGGTGCTAAAATACAACTTTCACAAACTGAAATCTAACTTTTTTAGAGCTACATGCATTGAGTTTACGTTTCAGCCCTTGCGTGCATATTATGGCGCCAATTGTTTTCCACTCTGGTGGGAGTGATTTTTAACAGTACTCGAGTTGTGCTATGTTGCTATAGAGTGAACATTAAGGGTTGGATCTAAATACGCTAAGATGCAACAGCTTGGTTCCATGAGTACTTCCCATCATTCACATACACTGCAAACAGGAAGTAAACTGGGAAACATCTGGAATGTTTACATTTTCATCTGTGAAATGGTCTTTGAACAATGGTAGCCTATAAGACTGACTGAGATATATATACAGTATGGACAGTGGGCAAAATATAAAGAATACATCGTTATTTTTACACATTATAGATGGCAATAGATGTTTTTGAGCAGCTGCTGTGTTTTATGTTAATCCTTTTACTGAGTTTTTACTGACCTTGTGCCCTTTTCTCATGACCTAATCACATTCCCCCAGACATTCCGACATAGACTGATAGCTCTGTTATCGTACTGGTAAAGTCTTGTGTTTAGCATCACTGTGGTTCTTTGTATCCGGCTGCATGAAGCCTTTAATTAGTGACTGTATCTTCTGTGACAGTGTGCTCTCACAGCGGCGCTCCAGCAAAGAAAATGTAACTCACAGGGAGAAACACTAGGAAATGTAGGCCAAGTTCATCCGCGCTCGCTCCAACACTAGTGTGTGTGATGCCAAGTGTAAAAAAAAAGTGAACAGACCAGAATTCAAGAGCAGAGCTTTTTTATCCCTCCTGACACGAATACAGGAAATGTAAACTCGTCCGTGAAATTTACCCAAATTATATTCGTCCCAAGTGAAGAGTCTCCATTCATAAACTGGGCTGTCATTCAGAAGTACAGCACAGACCAGCTCTGCACTGCTTCTCTGTGTGTGACGATGAATGGAGACTACGAGTGAGGCTGATGGTCGGGTGTATTGAGGACACGGGGATTTCTTCAACCCCTTAAACAATTAATATCCGCCTTAAATTCCCTGCAGAAGTCTGCAAAATCTCCACCAAAAAAAGATCCTTTAAGATCTCTCTTTGAATTTAGAAAAAGCTTATTGTATGATAGTGCCACCTACATATCTTGATGTCGGCATTTGCAGATTTTGGGATCTCCAGTAGGACATTGCGCTGCTTGTTTCTTTGTGGAAAAAAATGTGGGTTTGAACCCTTTTACATATTCAAAGTTTCCCCCTTTTTCACACTTTAAGGTCGGAAAGATTGTTACTCTACTGTCGGTATAGTATAACATACTGTATATTCATGCTGTTGAATATTCAAACACAAGACTCCTTGGTTTTAGTCAAATTTTGTGCATAATTTTAACACATTTCCACAAAATCCACTTTGACAAACGTAATGCCTTTTAAAACGTTGGCATCTCAAGATTTTTCAACGAAGGGATCATTTTAATACTTTTCTGCAACACATACGTTTGTAAAGATTTGTAAAGAAGACGGTGATCTCTGACCCCTTAAAACAAAAGCCTCTTACAGACTTGTGACCCTTTATCATACGTAGGTTATAATCTTTGTATGGACATGAAATGTCAGCAGTTAACAAACGAGTGATTTAAGGAGACTCAAAGATGTGCATTAAAACGTCACAATAATAACAATTAGTCTTCATTATCTCTGTATTCACCTTGAGACCCCTCTTGGGTATAGAGGACTAAATCTCGTATTATAATAAATGAATGAATGAATAAATAAATAAATGACAAACTTGCTCTCAAAATCTAGTAGACTTCAGGACAATTCTCACATTTTATCTGGTGTTTCAGATCAGTTCACTTCCGCTAATTACTCATAGCGAGAAACTGATTGAGAAAAGAATATATATATGTATTTGTGGGGCCTTTTGAAATAATGTAGAACGTTGTATTATTATTTTTCCTGCTTTGAAAGGTTAACTCTGAATGGTTGTTGTGAATTGGTTTTGCATTCCCATTAGGAGACTCCCCTTGATTGCTCCCTAAACTTCCAGGAGGTCAGAGGTCAGCATAAACCTCACACACAAACAGCCAGATAACAATAAGTGTCCCCCCGCTCTGCAGAAACGGGATGTTTCCAGACATGGGGGTCTGTACCGTCATGTGATCCCGCTCTGCTCCTCCTCATCTCTTATGTAATCCCCATCTCAGCCATGTGCTCCCCCTATAACCACTATAACCACTGACTGAGTGTGGTAATGGTGACACATTGATTCACCTCTAGTAACCGACGTGGAGGCGACATTTGGTTGATGGTGCACTTTGAGTTTTAAACCACGAAAGGAATGAGACACAGCAGGATGAGGTGGAATCTCCAGCCTACACCACATGTGTTTTGTTCATAAAGCCTGTAGTTCACAGAGCCAGCTGTCACACCACTTCCTCATTGGCTGTCTGGTGATAAATTACATTGTTTTTTCCACTGCGGATAGTCATTAAAATAGAAGGGGGTGTCGTGTGATCCATTTGCACATACTGAGGAAGTAATAGTCTTTAATAACCAGCAAAGACACAGTTTTGATTTGTGATTTTTAATAATGAACAACATAATGACTCTGACTGAGGATGTTCCTTTAGCGTGAGCCTGAGGTTTGTTTGTTTCTCAATGCACTGCATTCTTTCCAGCCTCTCCTCCTCCTTCAACCAGACTGTTCAGTCTGTCTGTCACTCACGCCGCCCATCATAGATGAGCATTGTCTGTACGCCTGTATGGAAGCCCATTTCTACCAAGGGAAGAAATAAAATGAATGAAAGTCATTAGCATTAGAAATAAATACTGATGGTAAGTCATAGCTTTAGTTAGTTCATCCGCATCCTTGTTTGTTGTACCAACCGGTGAAATAACATCATTTTTGTAATTAAATGAAATTTAATGCAATGTGTGTCCACTGCCGCTTTATTTTTAGTGTCTTATAAACCCATGAGGGTTGGGCACGTTACATGCATGAGACGAAAATAAAGATATCAATCAATCAAATTTAATTTACAGGTACAGTGGATGTACGATGTTAGTGTTAGTGGATTATTTTATCACAACAGGTTTACAGGCGTTTTGAGAAAAAACTGTTTTGACACATGTATTTTTGACTTAGTAAATACATTTTTTTTATTGTGCATAATTTCATTCATTCATTTTCTGTCTTCTTGGCACTAATGGGCTTCCATACTTTCTCCATTTACACCAATCATAACAATAGGAGGGGGCGGGGCCACGTCACGTTAGGTTGTCCCCCCTCATTGGGTAAATAGCAAACACCACCCACTTATTTTGTAGACTGCCGTTGGGAGAGTCACGCGAAGTTTAGCGTTAGCGAAGCTCCAAAAAAAATGACACAGACGTGAGAGGAGATGACCCAGGTGAACCCGATGAAACCGTCTTCGCTGGGAGGGTTTCCGATGAGACACAGACGCTTTCTCTGTTAGCCCACCTGCACTCGGGTGTTGGCTCGGCTCGTGGAGGGAACCGCTGCGGCTAACGAGCTAACTAGCCGGCGTCGCCTGGAGTGGAACGAGTCGCGGTGTGTGAAGCTTAACGAAGACTGTTGGAACCGCTGTGGCTGCTAGCGAAGTTCGCTAGCCGCTAACTACCCGCAGCAGCTAGCGAAGCTTGTTAGCCGCCAATTACCCGCGGCTGCTAGCGAAGCTAACGAGCTAACTAGTCAGCGTCTCCTGAGTGGGAGTGGAGCGAGTCGCGGTGTGTGGAGCTTAACGGCTACCGAGGCGACAGTTGGAACCGCTGCGGCTGCTAGCGAAGCTTGTTCGTTAGCCCCTAACCAACCGCCCGCAGCAGCTAACGAGCTAACTAGCCGGCGTGGAAGTGGAACGAGTCGCGCGGTGTGTGTGTGAGAAGTGAAGCTAACGGCTCCGAGGCAACGGTTGGTGGGCTGGATATATATTTTCTTTCCGGAGGGATTCGTTGCCACCGAAGGAGGTTGTTATCATCAACACCGCTGCCATCTTCTCATTATCGGCGTGTAGCGTCTTGACTGCACTCCTCCGTGTCTCCATGCTAGTAGCAACGGCTGCACTGATGTGCCACATTTAGCCAACGAACCCATCACATTTTTTGGGGTTGTTTTTGGACATTTTGCGAGTGTACGCGGTACTAGCTTTTTGTTGTATCAACTGTACTTTGATGTCGTGTCACCCGACAGCTAGTAGTCCCTCCAAAAGAACCAGACGCGGAGCATGCAGGAGGAGAAAAGACTTCAGATAAGTAGATAAGGAGAGTTAACTTTGTGTGTGTGTGTGTGTGTGTGGTTAATCTACCACCAAAAAACAAAAAGTGAGAGGTGAAATTTTGGTGACCGGGACTGAGAAGAAAAAGTAAAAAGGATGAAGAAGTTTTCCAGGATGCCAAAGTCCGAGAGCGGCGGGCTCGGCGGAGGAGCGTCCGGGTCCAGCTCCGGAGTCGGCAGCTACTTCGGGAAAGTGTTCGCAGTCGGCCGGTATCAAGTCACCGTGGATGAGCTCATTGCGGAGGGTATGTGCCCGCAGATTACTAGCATTACTGTGTGTGTGTGTGTGTGTGTGTGTGTGTGTGTGTGTGTGTGTGTTAACAGTGTTTTGTCTCTCACATTAAGCCGCGTTGGTATTCGCTCTGGGACACACCCGTCGTCTTCTGTTTTTGGAGAGAATAACTCTCACAGGCACACAGCAGTGGAGCAAACTCCTCCAGCTTTGTTCCTTTTATGGGCTGGTAATTGATTTGCCCTCCACAGTAAAACCTCAAACCCCCCTCTTTAACATCTGCTTATTTCCCAAGAAAGTACATCAGAATCAGCTTTATTGGTCATGTAATACACACATGTACATGGAATTTGACTCCGGTTTTCACATGGTTCTCAACGTACATGCATAGAATATACAAATAAACAAGACAAATATAAAAACAAGGACATTAAAGACAAAGTAGAACAGAGAAACTAAGCTTTAACATTTAACTACTATGTACAATATAAATATATATTGAAGAACAATGGATTTGGGATATTGGTGCAGAATGGAGGTGCAGTTTGTCTGATTTAACTGTGATTGAAATGGGTCGGTCTCCTCTTCCAGGCTTTGGTATTTAAAGTGGGGCACCAGGGATTTTGGTCCATAGCTGGAATTTTAAACTTACAACTTTTCCGCCACACAGCTGTAGGTTACATCCTGCTTCAGCTGCTCCACTAGGGAGGGGGGGTGGGGTGGGTGTAACAAGGGTCCAAGCCTCCTGTGTCAACATACACCATGTAAATGTCCAGCCATTTAAAAAGAAACACTGTTCAACATGTTCATTCAAGTTCTTCTGCAGTTTGCTTTTGTCCCCATGATTATTTTCTTTGAGGAAATATGAAAAGTTGAAGTCTCCGTAGGCAGGCTGAGACACACTGTAGTTATTCTGTTAACATGAACTTAATCTGATTGGATTGCATTCCAGCAGTGGTAAACACATGAAGGATGTCTGATGCAATGGGTGCGTTCTAACCTAGTGCAGCTCCCGAGGATGTCGACAGGCCTTCTTGGAAACGATAGACGTTTCCTTCATGGTTTGATAAAAGCTTGCGTTCAAATATGTTGAAATGAGATTCTCCTCTATGTACAGTCACACAGGCACAGAATGAGGAAGTGTGTGTGTGTGTGTGTGTGTGTGTGTGTGTGTGAGTGTGAGAGAAAACGAAACGGCTGGTTTCTTTCACAAATGGTTTAGTGCTTAGCACAGTGTGTTAATTAGAAACATCCTTTTGATTTAGAGAATAACCCAGCTCAGGCAATTAGACCACTAATTGGCCATGAGGGTCTTCCCTTTAACAGGAAGGAGTTAGTCATATTCTCAAGCTCTTTATTACAGAATATGCAGATGCTAATTAGACATTACTGGAAAAGAGTAGTCAAATCTCACTCGTCATAATATTTGCAAATATGCTTTAGACTGTAATGAGGTCTAAATGTTAAAAGATCCCTCTGCAGTACTGGGTTGTTATGGGAAGGACTGATGGTACTTATTTTTTTTACATTAATTAATTACTCATTGTGTCTACTGTTTGAGGATTTATGAAGTCACGGTCAGCCAAAATGATGTAAACTTGGAAGAGTTCAGGTGGGTGAAGGAAACTCCTCACAAGCATAAAGAAAGTGCAGGTTTACTCCCACTATATATAATTGGAAAATCAAATCAAACAGAATTAAGGGGCCTCATTAAACACATTTCTAATCGTTACTCAGGCCTTAATCATTCTTTGTAAGTCACTGTGAATAAAGAGCGACAACTAAATGTTTCAGACATTTACTGTTGTCTCAAGTAACGGAGCGATGTAAACATGCTGTTGAGTCAAACTGTGAACCTCAGCTCACTTTGCCCCAAAAAACGACACACACCCCTTCCTGCAAGCAGTCATGAGTCTTGTGTCATCATATAATCATGCGAGGTGGTTGTGACTGGTTTTGCCACCAGGAGCACAGGGTTACATTGTGACCGTTGCTCATCTTTCTGTTCCAAGGTAAACCACAACTGTGTATTTCATTTAAACTTAACGGAGTCTGCTGCGTTTAGAAATACACTGAATGTTAATAAATAAAGTAGGATATTGTTCCCCATTTATTAAAGTGGAGTACAAGTGCTCGGTGTACAACAATCTGCTCGAGCAAATAGCTGTTTTGAGACTTATTGGGACTGAAACGTAATGCAAATCAGAAACGGAACATGTGATGTTTACAGCTGCAGTGGACAGAAACGGTAGCATTCAGACTATATTCCAGGTTTCAACGTTGGACAAGTGGGTCAGAAATCTTCTTACCAGAAGTCCATTTAGTTTATTAGCTGTTATCAAATAACAGCAGCCATGCCAGTGAGATGCCGTCGACTCTTATCACCGTCCAGCAACGTTTCTCTGGAAATTTGTCGTGTCTTTAAAAAAACAAAACGCTACCGTTTTATCCGCCTTGCTGTCAAACTTGCGGCAAATTGCACAAAACATAGAACAGGACTATTGAAATACTTGCAAGTGCCAGATCAGTACTGCACATGTGCAACTCTCAACAGAGGTGAGAAAGGAGCGAGACTACCTCCGAGAAAGAAAAATTTTTTTTTACCTCTTGCCATATTTACGAGCCCGAAGTGGCATTTTACTTCCCCCAGGCAATCCATATCGTGTAAGAATGAGAATTTATAAAATAATGTGCATTAAGTTGAATCATTAGTCTTTTCTTCAGTGATTCAGTTGAGATACCGGGAAAGTGGTCAATTTGTCGAGGTTAATTTTGGGATTTACCATTGTGGCCCAGAGACCACCAGGCATGTTTCAAAAGGTTGTCTTTAAAGCTGTTGATGCACGTTCCAGTTGTCTTGAACCGTAGTTAGAATTAACTGCAGAAGTCTGCCATGAAGTGAAACTGGGCTGGCAGCAGTTCCTCTTTGTGAAAAAGTTTTGCGTGACAAAATCAGACGAGGCAAAGCCACTGCAGTGATCATCTGGATCCATTTCTTCCTGTGTTCTTAATCGTATCCGATACCAGATAAAGCAGATTGTGTCAGTTTCCTGTCTATATTTTCATAAAAAGGACACCACAGAGGTTCATCTAGTGTGCACAGGTTTGATCAGGCCGCTGCTGGTGGAAGTATGTGGTACTCTGTCACTTATTAGACTGATTCCTCTTGGGCTCATCTTCCATTTCCTTATTCAACTATTATCCAGTAGCTGTGCCTGTTTAATAAACAACACGAGATTCCCTTAAAGCCAAATGCACAACTCTCGTTTTCTGGAGAAGAAACAGCATGTTGATCTTAATGATCATATTCCAAATGAGACTTTTGTCGAGCTCAGAGGTCCTCTTGATGCCTTGTGGTTAGCGATTTGTTTTTCTTCCAGTGACATATCTGCAGAGCTGGACAGTTCCTCCATCAAGTAGGAACAGAGTCATTTCCCTCTGTTCCCCTTTAGCCTCTGTGGTTTCTCCAGGGCTCTGTCTCCAAGAGGAACAGAAATGACATGAAGCAACAGGATGCATCTGTGAGCATGTCACCCACTAACTCTTACCGTTTTAGGGTTCCTTTTCGAGGCCTTGAAGTTAAGGAAACGTGTGGAAATTAGTTTGATAAGTTATGGGTTTGGAAAGTTGCGCAAATTTCCTGGAGAAGTTTGGTGCCGTCATAATAGACACAACCAAACTGTTGCTTTGAAGGATGATTTTAATAAATGTATAGGGATATTTACAGCATACCAGAGACCTATTTTATTATTTTCTTCTGTCATAAGTCTGGAAAAGAATACTGCCTTAGAGCCCTGCTCACATACACACAGTTGCCAGTTTAATAGGTACACCTTGCTGATGCGGTCTGATCCAACAGTCCTGCAATAAATCTTCATGGAGGTTTTAATATGTCGATGTTGAAACTGTTGTATGTAGTTTGTAGTGCTGTTCAAATTATTTGCTTTTAATCAGAGGTATTTCTGCAAATTCTCACTACAAAGTCCATAAAGTCATCCACGTAATTATTAGACGGTCGGAGCATCTGAGCAAACAAACACAGGACTTTCACCCAGGAGACTGATGTTCATGTCCCGTGTGAAATCAAGTCAATGTTGACTTATTTGATCTTAGTTTTGTTATACAAGTTCTGTACTTTACCAGTTAGGGTTGAGGTTAGCTTAACTAAGTTGTTAAAAACTACATTGGATGTTTATTTTGAAAAGAGACTGTATCCATGTAACAAGCAGAATCTAACATGGAGAATGAATACGTTCGCTCTCTCACAACATGAGATATGAATCCCCCTCTTCCTTCTGTGAGCTCTCTCACAGCCCAACGGCTAACTAGCTAGATAGCCCTACCGGCATCAAAACAGGAAGTCAGTGGTAAAGCCCGGGTCTTGCTTGATTTGATTGGCTGCCTCGGCCAAGTGTGACTTTGATAAGTGGTGGGACTCTGCGCTGAAAAGTTGAGAATATTGTAACTTTTATGCCTGAAAACGCTAGAAAACAAGTTTAGCGACTCTTCTGGGTGTGGCAGTTTAAACAAAAGCTGAACATTATAACCATCATGAAGAGAGGATTTATTGCAGTACTGTCAAATTAAACTTCATAATTGCGTCGGTTAAAGGTGTCTTTCTTTATTCCGGGTGAAACAGAATTTTTTTTATTTTTGTAATGAATACACCTCCATTGATTTTATTTGCGATGCTTGAAGCTACTGTTTAAGAAGACAGACAAACCGAATGCTCTGCACCTGCAGTCGGAATATATTTAATCATGTTATTTGCCAAACAGCCGCTGAGCATTAAAACAGAACTGCCTGCGGAACATGTCTTGTTGTGAGCCTAACTTGCGTAATAGCCCTTATGTCGCTGCTATTTATTCACCAGACCACGACCACGTTGCATGACAGCTGTACCTGCACCTCACTGTAGGTACAAACCAAACCACTCATGTTTAGCATGTGTTGGCAAATTCTTATTAAAATGTCGGGTGCCATATCGTCTAATCGACAGGAAGACTTTTGGTG